CCAGCGCTGATTGAAGCTTCCAGGCTGCCACCAAAATAATTACAATATGGATAATTACAGTAACATTATTGCATTAACATTATTTCTTCATTATGAGTATATATTTGTGATATTACCTAGGCAATAGGATGGGTGTATTTCCTGTCTTGAGAGTAATTAGAGGCTCTCCACCTCCCACTCCAACTCCCAAGGAAATTATTTCTTATAGTTTAACTATTCTGTTTACTTGAATGTATTTTCTCTCTTTTTGTGCTGTGACAGCCCTGAATTCCACCTTAACAGATGTGAGAGTGGATTTCCTGTCTGCAGATTCATTCTCACTGTGGATGGCGGTTTGTGTCTTGCAGAAATGTTTGGGGTCTCCTGAGCTGTTCCATTTTAGGGCTTGTTGATGTTTGGAGCTGTTGTGGGTTAAATCCATGGGTGGACACCTGATTCTGGAACAAGGAACTTCCTTCCCACAAACCTAATTCCTTGTTGGTGTGGAACCCAGTGCTTTTATTCTGGAATGAGAGTGTCAGCATGTGGAATTCATCAGAAATGGATCCATGGATGGAGGAGGTTTAGATGGGATATTGGGAAGGAATTCTTCCCTGTGAGGGTGATGAGGTGCGGAGGCCCTGGCACAGGGTGCCCAGTGAAGCTGTGGCTGCCCCTGGATCCCTGGAAATGTCCAAGGCCGGGCTGGATGGGGCTTGGAGCAGCCTGGGACAGTGGAAGGTGTCCCTGCCCATGGCAGGGGGTGGAAAGAGATCACTTTAAAGGTCCCTTCCCACCCAAGCCATTCCATGGTTCTATGGACAAACCCACACCTTCCACCTGATGCCCCAAAATCCCTTGGGAGGGAAGGGCTATGGAGGCTGTTTGTTTCTGTGGGTGATGATCTCAGTGCTCACTTGGTGATAAATAATTCACTCCTTTGGATTCTCTGCCCTTGGTGGTCGTAGCTTCTGTCATCTCATGTTCTCAGCCCTTTGCACTAATTAATCCTTAATTATTTTTTTTTAAATAAGAGTGATGTAGAAGCCCCACTTCAGACCACACTTCCCTTACCAGTGTGTGTCATCACCCAGCCTGAAGCTGGAAGCAGTTACAGCTTTGCCTCCTCATCTCATGACCAAAAAACCCCAAACAGGCGGGAGGATCAGACTTTCACACACGGCACTTCGGCACTTCTGTGGTGAGCAGGGCTGCTGCTGCTGCTGCTGCCTCCCGTGAGCAGCCCGGGGGCACAGGAAGGGCTCTGTGCTTATCAGATCCTTCTGTGAGCTGCCTTCCCTCAGCTCCCGTGCTGCTCGGGGCTCACAGGCACTGCTGCATCCCTGGGGATGCTCCAAAGCCACGGGGAGCTGCTCAGGGGTCACAGGGCACTGCTGCATCCCTGGGGATGCTCCAAAGCCACTGAGTGCTGTTCAGGGGTCACAGGCACTGCTGCACCCCTGGGGATTCTCCAAAGCCACAGGATGCTGCTCAGGGGTCACAGGCACTGCTGCACCCCTGGGGATTCTCCAAAGCCACAGGATGCTGTTCAGGGGTCACAGGCACTGCTGCATCCCTGGGGATGCTCCAAAGCCACTGAGTGCAGCTCAGGGGTCTCAGGGCACTGCTGCACCCCTGGGGATTCTCCAAAGCCACGGCTCCTCCTTTCCCCCATCTCCAAGGGTTTGCTGTGGTGGAGGTGGCTGAGCACAGCCTGCCCTGCATTGCTGCCTGCTGGGGCATTTCTCAGGCCCTGTTTTTCTCCTTGATTGAGGGAAAACCAAATTTGTGAGTGTCTGAGGAAAAAGTGAGCTGCCCTCTGAAGCAATGACATTACTACATTTTTTTCTCTGTTATTTTGTTCTCATGGTTTTACATAACCAAACCTTTTTTCTAAATCAGATATTTGGTAGATGGTGTAGATGGTGTCGATCAAATTCTCAGAGTTTATCACCCCAAAGGCTGCAGCTCCTCTGCCCTGACTTAACTGGCAGCATGAACCAGGCACTGCCGTGATGGATCCAGCTTATTTTTGGTCATGATGTTTATCAAAACATCTCTGACAAGATTTTAGCTTTTTATTTTTGTGTTGGATATTGTGGACTCATATTTGGGTCACTCTCTGGAGGTTGTTTTCAATTATTGAGGTCTGAGGAACAGAGTCCAGCAGTGCCAGGGTGCTCTGTGTGTGCATTTACACCCTGTGAGCTGGGGCAGAGGCTCATTTTTAACAGCAAAGTGAAAAAGGAAGTAAAAAGTGCAGTAAAATGTGTCAAAGCTGCCTTAACCCCAGCAGGAAAATCTAACGAGTTACAGAGAAACGGGGACTGTGCTCAGGATGTTGAGCAACCATGTGACAAAACAGCAAATAAAACAGTGCTGGTAAAGGAAAGATGTGAGAGAGGACAAAAATTATTTGGTAGGAGAAGCTGTAAATCAGCCATTTCCATGGCAAAATGAGATCTCTGGGATTCCATGGATGGCTCGTGGTGGTGGCAGAGGATGAGGAGGGTGCTGGAAATGTTGGAGGACACAGGGCAGGAGGTGGCTGGGGGCTCTGAGCTCTGTGAGATGCCACCAGCCCCGAGGCTGGGGCACAAATCCTGCAGGAGAGGAGGAGGAGGAGGAGGAGGAGAGGGAAGGTTTGGGAAGGGAAGGTTTGGGAAGGTTTGGGAAGGTTTGGGAAGGTTTGGGAAGGGAAGGGAAGGGAAGGGAAGGGAAGGGAAGGGAAGGGAAGGGAAGGGAAGGGAAGGGAAGGGAGCCGATGGAAATGGGGCAGGGTTGGAGCAGACCCAGAACTGCTCCCCCCAACCCTGCACCCTCAGCCACCTTGTGCCGGGTGTGAGGAAGGCTCCCAAAACCCTCATGCTCATTCTGAACAGATCAAGCTCCCTCAAAGCACCCCTGGGGCTGCACTCTGCCACAATGGCTTTCCTTTGGCCCAGCAGGAATTAAAGCTGATTCTGTGCCCAGAAGCCCCCTGGCCCTTCAGCCCAGAGCCAGCCTGGCGAGGGCATGGGCAGAGCTCAGGGCTTTGCTGCTCAGTGATAACAACCAGAGGAAACCCTTCCTGCAGAATAAAGGAGACATTTTGGGCTTTGGGCATTTTTGTTCTCAGTTACATTCTCATTCAGATTCCCATTCCAGCGCTGCAGATTATCCAGATTATTTTAGAATATTCTGAGTTGGAAGGGACTCCTAAGGATCACTGAGTTCAGCTCGTGGATCCTGAGACACTAAAAATACAGAGCATGGCAAAAATACCCACGGCATGAAAATCCACCTGCTGCTTATCTAAGGAACAACTTCATCCTGCAGTTGGTGGTGGCAGCATCCCCAGGGGCTGTGGGAGCTCAGTGTGGCCCCACCTGGAGCAGAGGTGGCTGGGGAGGGCAGGAGGTGTCCCCTGAATTCATCTCGTGTCCCCAACCCCAACCACTGCACTTCCTGTAAAAAGAGATCATTGACACTCATTTGAGTAAGGGGCAGGGGGGAAGGTGCTGCTGCACCCACAGGATTTTCTGGGTGGAAAACTTCAGCTGCTTGAGGTTTCTGTCTCTGAACAATTTCTCAACTTCTGACAGCACTTTATGTAACAACTTTTCCCCTCAGGGGCTAAAAGTGACTCTGGGGGGTTGGACAGGGCCACCCTGGTCCCCTCTCATGGTGGCCAGAAGGGACAGGGATGGGCTGGATTCCTGCAGCTGGAGGAATTCCCATTATCCTGGGAAACCTGGCCCTTGCCTTTCCTCCCCAGTGCAACAAGAAGAGTCAAATAATTTCAGAGAAGCATCTAAAATGTTCTGCAGGTGCTCAAGAGGCACCAAATCCAGGTGCTGCCACATGTTCATATGTATAGGTGATGCAGGGGGGAGAAGGAGCCAGGAATTACATTTTAAAAACATTTTTAGAAATGATTATTTTATTATATACAACAGGAAATATAAAAATAAATATTTTCTTTTGTCACTGTGAATGTGTTTTCCATGGATTATCAGTGCTTGCTCAGCCATCAGGCACTGGCTCAGATTCCTGTAGGGAAGAGGTGGTGGAGTTTTCTTTTATTATATGAAAAAGCTTTTGAAAAGAAAACAAACTTCTTGTGTTCTGACACACATAATTTTCCTAAAATGTGTCTTTCCCTTATATAAATTATAAGCCAACATTTGCATAAATAAAAAATGATACTGTCACAGAAAAATAACGTTTTACAAGAAGGTGCAAATGAAGCCTGAAGTCTCTTTGGTTTGAATTTAAAGCAAATATTAAAACAACATCCACTTTTGAGCCCTTATTAAAAATCTCTCGTGGCACCTTCGACTTTGATTCCAGGGAGTTCCCATTACAGCAAACTTTGGAAAGGTTTGGATCCTCTGTTGGAATAATGCTGCTGTTAGTGAGGAGTGGATGTGATGGCTGTGGGTCAGTTATCAGTGAAAGGAAATCATTTGCCCCATTTTTGGTGAAAAGAGGACCTGAAAGGCTTGATGGACACCTGGCTTGAATAAATACCCCCCAAGCACAACCCCATAGTTCAAAACCCAAGGCCTGGCTCTAACCCTTGTCTTTGCACCCAGAAGTGGGAACTGATGGCAGAAAAATAGTGTGTGGAACTTCCCTGGCTGTGTGATTTGGGGTGATGGCATCTGCTACGCCCCCAAATGAGGCTTCATTAATTATTTAAATGGGAAATCCTTTGGGGCCACCTTCTGCTCCTCACCCCATGCTCAGCGTGGCTGGAGCAGGCTCTGGGCACTCCATGGAGAATCAGTCTCTGCTGAATTGTCTTGTGTTTCAGAAACAGAGAATATTGTGGCATCCAGTGGTATTTAGGATCAAATTCTTTCTGCACAGCAAGACCCCAGAATCTTTGCTGTTTCTTGCTGACCGGGACGTGGCTGGGTGATGCCATGGGTGACAGAGGGACATGGGTCACCTCTCCCATGGTCTGTGACCTCCTGCTGCCCAGCTGGGGAATGGAAATGCTCCTATTTCTACTCAGTGAAAATGTGCACCTGAAGTATTAAATCAACACGTTTTTGGTCAGGTTTGGGTATTTTTGAGGGTGGGAGTTGTTTGTTTATTCCAACCCTCACCGAAAGCAGAAGTTTGAGTTGTTGTTCTCAGTGTCCTGGGGGAAAAAAACTGCGGCAAAGGCCAAAATGTCATGAACATTGGGAGTGCTGGGAATCAGTATTCTGTGGTGTCCTCCCCAAGCACATCCCTGGAGTGCCTCCTGCCGTGGCTGAGGTGCTGGAGATGGATGCTGTCCTGCAGGTCCTGCCTGGAGAGGCGTCTCCTGAACTCGTCCGTGGTGAAGTAGTAGATGATGGGATCCACGCAGGAGTTGAGGCTGGCGAGGCACAAAGCCACGGCGTGGAACACCGAGATGGGCACGCAGCCCTCCTGGATCTGCCCCGTTTTCACAAAGAAATCCAGGGGGAAGCTGATGTGGTAAGGTCCAAAGCAGATCAGGAACACCAGGGCGCAGGTGAGGATCATCTTTAAAGCCTTCTTTTTCTCGCCCAGGTCCCGGGAAGCAGAGTGCCTCTCTTTTAGTGATAGGATTGTCTTCCAGGAGCAGTACAGGATGATGAGCAGGGGGGTGACAAACCCCACCAACTCCCCTATGGTCATCAGCGTGATGGAGGTGGGCAGGTCAAGTTTCTTGATGGGAAGATCCACAAAACAGGCATTTTTGTCCTCCTGGTGCTGCATCCTGAGGAGAGGGAAAGGCAGGCACCCCACACAGACCACGACCCAGCCCACGATGCTGATGTAGACATCACAGACACGCCTGCAGTCACTGAATTTGAAGGGGTGCATGAGGAACAGGTACCTCCTCACGCTGATGCACACCAAGAAGTAGATGCTGGCGTACATATTGACGTACTTCAGGTAGAAGCAGAGCATGCAGAGACCTCCCCCGAACTCCCACGTGCCCGTCAGGTAGTAAAAAATCCTCAGGGGCAAGGACAGCACCTGTGACAAGTCAGCAATGGCTAAATTGATCATGAATATCACGGCCCTCTTAGTCTCTTTCATGTAGCCATAGAAGACCCACAAGGCCAGGGTGTTGCCGATGAGCCCGGGGATCAGGATCACCGTGTAGGTGACGGCGTAGTAGGGCTTGAGGTCTGTCTCACTGCAGTTGGAGCTGCTGTTCATGGTTGTGCTCCGGCTCCGAGCTCAGCCCCGGCATCCTCACGGGTCCATCCTGCCTGTGCTGCAGCCAGGGGGGCTCAGGATCCAAAGGAAATATAAAAATAAATATATTTTTATTTATTTATTAATGTTAGGGGAACAGTCCAGCCCTGGAATCTGCGCTCACCGGCTCATCACGGGCAGAGTTAATTCCAGTGTCCGGCTCATCGGTCAGAGCTCGCTGGGGTCACCTGCGGGGTGGGCAGGAGGAATCCACGCCAGGAAAAGCATCGCTGTGTCCAAGGGGACAATTCCTCACCAGAGCTGGGTGTCTGTCACCTTTTGGGGGGCATTTCAGCCTCTCCTCTCAGCACAGGAGTTCAGCAGCTGATGTGGCCCCACGGCTGGAAGACAGAAAGGTGCAGTTGGAGTGTGACCTTGTTCACAGGGGTTTTTGGATGAGGGAAGAGACAAGGATCTGACTCCATGTTTCAGAAGGCTTGATTTATTATTTTATGATATATATTACATTAAAACTATACTAAAATAATAGAAGAAAGGATTTCATCAGAAGGCTAGCTAAGAATACAATAGCAAAGAATGATAACAAAGGCTCTGTCTCAGACTCTCTGTCCGAGCCAGCTGGGCTGTGATTGCCCATTAATTACAAACATCCAACATGGGCCAATCACAGATGCACCTGTTGCATTCCACAGCAGCAGATAATCAATGTTTACATTTTGTTCCTGAGGCCTCTCAGTTTCCTCCTCAGAAGGAAAAATCCTAAGGAAAGGATTTTTCATAAAAGATGTCTATGACAGTTGGAGCATTGCTGGGAGACAGGAGGAGCAGAGCAAGAGTTATGGGAAAAGCTGGAGCATCTCTCCAGCAGAAACCTGTGTGGCTTTGGTGGTGATCAGCTCTTGTGCTGCCCAGCAAGGACCATGCCCTGCCCAGTGGAGGTGCAGAACCACCAAGGAATAAATAGGAATTGTGTTCATTTTCTGCTACAACACCTGGGGGTGTTGCTCCTCCTGTGTCCCAGCACATGGTCAGCACCAGACCTGCCTCCCACCCTGGGGGTATTCTCACCTCCCAAAACCCCCTGAAAGGAACACTCCCCTGGCTTCCCAGAGAAGCCCTCAGAACGTTGCCACCCTCCCCAGCTGCAGGTGCAGAAGGAAATCTGCTCCTGGTGTAGCCCACATGCTCACAAACCTTTCCCTCAGTGCCGCTGTGTCATGGGGTGGAAGTGCCAGGTCAGTGGCTTTCACCAAACCAGGGCCAACTTTTAAAAGTAGGGTCAGAACCAGGTTCACATTTTAAAAATAGGACATAAACCATCCTTTGAAGAACTACCTGCATTTGATCCAAGCTGACTTCCTCACAGCTGCTTTTTCTAAGCCTGTCCTTACCCATTGTGCACATCGGGGGCTGTTGGTAACGCCAGAGCTGGTACTAAGGAGGCTGGAGGTGGATTTTATTTAAAATTGCAAGCCAAACAGGTGATGTTATCTGAATGTGCGAGACATAAAAAACCTCAGCCAGATCTGATAATTCTAGAGGAAATTCGGATCTCTGCCCAAACTGTCTCAGCTTTGCCTTTGGCTTCCACATGAAGAATTATCCTGCAGGTCTAAGTGGAGAAGTTTGCAGGTACCAACCCAGATGCCAAAGGCACATGTACTTAATTTAAAATGTTTTAATGTTTTTAATTTAATTTTTTAAAATTTTAATTTTAAAGGTAAAATGACATTTGCTGCAGTACTGCTGGTTTTTTTCCAGTGCTTAGGTAAAAAATGTGAACACCCATTTAATGATGGTCAACACTTGCTGGTGTGATGATACTGAAACTTTGAAGTAGTTTTGGGTGGAAGCAGAAAATCTGCCATAAAAGGAAACATGCCTATTTTTGCATTTTCTCTCACCAAGGAGACTGAGATATCTTCCTTCCTTCCTTTTAAAGAGGGAGCATCTAACTCCAGCAGTGGGGTAAAATGGCTGGTGAAATGATCCTGTTATGCTCCAGAAGTGACAATTAATAATATTTTTATTTTAACAGCTTTTCTTATCAATTTAAACCAGCTTGTTTCTCCTCTCCTGTTGGCAGAGGCTCCACTGAAGGAGACTTGATCCAACTCCTTTTCCCCTGGCTGCATTCCCAGGTGGGAAAATCCACTTTAAGTCCATCTCTGGGCCTTGGGACACACAAAGGGGAGGACAAAGTGCACCCCCAGCCCTTCCACACATGCACATCTTATTTTTCCTGCTGCCCCTCAGCTCCTGCCCTTCCCTATCCCCATCATGCAGCAACTTTCCTGCAACTCCACTCCCTGGCCCTCCAGCCTGGCCCTGGGGCAGGGAGGCATTTTCAGGACTTTCTGCCTCTCCCTGTGGCACGAGGGGACCCCAGGGCCCAGCTGAAGGTGGGGAGCAGCGAGGGGGCTCAGCCAGGGCACCCAGAGGCACCCTCAGGGCTGGGGAGGGGGTGTAAAACCTCAGCAATGTGAGAAACGGCGCTCTGGAAATCCCAAGCAGCAACATCACAGAGTTCAGCCCCATGCGCTGGGTAACAAACCAGCAGGATGCTAAAAAAATCTCCAGAAAGAGGAAATTTGGGTTTGCATGCTCTGTGCTTGCTTCCCCCTCACTGTGAGGGGGTGCGTGAGAGACTCTCCACAGGCACAGCCTCCTTCTCCCCTTGAACATCTTTTCCCTCTGATTTTTCCATGGGTACCCCCCAAATCAGCCACGTTGGGGCCCTGGATAAAGATTTGTGCCTAATGAGTCAGAGCAGCAGGTAAGAGCTGCAGGCAGCCTAAAATCAGTTTGTTAGAGCTGGGTACATCCTGGGTAAAGCATTTTCTGTGTGCTGGAGGACAGCTGGGTGTCCCTCTGCTCCATGAAAACCCCTTCAGGAGCTGGGGGAGCAGCCCCTTGCCCTGCTCACAGCTGGGCTCTGGCCCTCAGCTGAGCCTCCTCAGAAATCATCAACCCCCAGCAGAAATCATCAACCCTCATCAGAAATCATCAACCCTCAGCAGAGCTCAGGCTCCTCACCTGAGGCTGCTTAGGGATGTCCAATCCTCATTAGCAAATCCTGGGGGTTTAACCCACAGCAGCTCCTAAACCCAGCTGGGTGGGGAGAGGCTTTGGGAGCAGCTCCTGCCTGGCCTGGGTTTGTGGATGCTCTCCCTGCTGCTGCCTCATGCCTGGAGCCCTCTCAGAGCTGGGATCACCTCCTGCTCCTGCCCAGAGCCAGGTGATGGATCAGCCTGGATGGATCAGCCTGGATGGATCCTCCTGCTCCTGCCCAGAGCCAGGTGATGATGGATCAGCCTGGATGGATCAGCCTGGATGGATCCTCCCCCCAGCCCTGCCCTTGCTGCTGGCCCAGGTGAGCTGGGGGTGCTCAGTCCCCTCGTGTTCAGGGTGGGGATGTGTTTAAGAACACAGGAAACCTGTGCTGGGGGTGACAGGGGTGCAGCAGCAGCACCCTGGTGTCCCCTGCTCACTTACCCTCCTGGGGGAGCTGGGCTGGGCTGTGCCTGGCACCTCTCTTGTGATTTTCCTTCTTCTCCTCCACAACCTAAAATAAAAGCAGAACATGCACAGGGGAAACATCAAATGGAAATTCAGCTTCCTGTGAGAGTGAAGGCAGGGTGAGGGTGGCTGGGTCCCTCCAAAGGGGCTCTGTGGGGAGGGCAGAGCTGGCCCAGGGGTGGCCTGGGCTTCTCCCAGCGCCCGCTTTGTTCTCTGGCCTGCCTTAGCAGGAAGCAGAATTTACAAGGTATGAACTGAAAATAGAAATGCTGAAACCAGAAACTGAATGTTGTATGGGGTTGGGTTTTTTGTTCTTTTAACAAATGACAGGAGGCCTTCTCTGCCTTGAAGTAGCTTCCTGATAGATATTTGGGATTTATCTCTTTCTCCATCAGAGCAATATTCCCCCTTGCTGTGCTAACTAAATTCCAAGAACATGAAGAGAAAAAATAAATGCTCTGGCTTAATGCCATGTGAAATACTCTGCTTTTGCCTTTTAATCCTTTGCAAAAGCTCTTGTCCTCCTTTGTTAATATTTATCCTGGTTAAGAAGGGAAAATAACCGGGAGCAGCAGTGCTGTGTATCAGCCTAATCCCCCACCTTCCTTGTGCTTTCCTGGCACACTCTGATATCCCTGAGAGATGTTTCTGGCACCAAAACTGTGAATTATCCCCCAAACCATCAGCACACGGCCCCCAGGGATGCACAGCCATGTCCCTGTGCTGTGACAACCCTGTCCTCTTCTTCCCTGGTTCTTGCAGTCAAATGGAAATTGGCCCATGGAAAATCAGCGTGGAACCACTTGTGAGGAACAGAGCACTTGGGAAAACTCATGGGACAAACAGAGAGAGACAAACCCAAGGAAAGTGTGGGAACTGGGTCAGTTATCCCTGTGCAGGGCGATGGGGCTGCGTGGCCTCAAGGGCCCCTTACAGACCAGTCCCATCCCAGGGGTTGCTGGGTTTGCAGAGCCTGAGAATCGCTGGAGTTGGGGTTAATCCTTAAATTCAGCTGCTCACTCAGTGATAGCTGAAAATACAGCTTGAAACTCCAAGGCAGGGTGTTTCAGCTTCAGCCATCCCCCTGCTCTCACTCGGATGCTCAGAGCATCCCATGGGCACACACGGGAGCTCTTCAATAAATGAAGATTATCCCTTCAATAAAGGAACATAGCTCGGCTTTGCATCTCCTCCCTTCTACCTGTTTACTCTGGGACTTACACCAGCTCTGTGGTGAAGGCAGGACCCCCCTGGCTGTCCCTGGTCTGTCCCATCCCGGCAGAGCCTCACCAAATCTCCAGCACAACAACCAAAAAAAGCCCAACTGGTTTCCCCCAGCGTGACCCGAAGAAAACCAGGACAGAGGAATCCCAGCCGTACCTTTGCTGTCCCGGAGGCTGTCCCGGCGTGTCCCCGCGGGGCTGCAGAGGTCCCCACGGCCGGTCCCTCCCTCCCTCGCCGTGCAAAGCAAAAGCGCAACTGGC